TGGCCAGGCTCAGGGTCCCCGCAGCCTGCTGGGGGAGTTGCTTCCTGTGGTGTCCTGTGTGGCTTACCTTTGTTGAGTCTCCATGTCCCTGGGAAGGGGGCACTGTCACCGCCCTGATTTGACAGATGAAGAACAGAGGCCCAGGCAGCCAGGATGTGTCACAGCTCAGGTCCGTGGACCTCAAGCCTTGACTGCACCCTAGGCTGCTGCTGGATGCTGTGATAGCCTACATTACACCCAGCCGGGACACTGTACTCTGGAGGTGGTGCTGTGGAGGGGGTAGAGTTGGAGGTGGTCCTGATCAGGGCCACGGGGGCTGCAGTGAAAAGAACAAAGACAGGTCGGTCCTGTTCACATGTTGTGAAAGAAGGAAGGAGGGGAAGAATGTACATCTGTGTCCCCTTAGCATCCTGACACATGCATTTGCTCATCTTTGCAAAAATAAATGCAGAAAGGCTACCCCAGCACTGAAAGAAGAAGGCTTCTACGGGGTGAGTGGGAATGGACAAGGAGGGGGCAACCCTGGTCTGGCTACGTCTCATCTTGTACTTATCACTTTTGAGTCAAACAAATGTTTTGCATAATCAAAATATAGCATCAAATCAAAAAGGATGAAAACAGGCCCCAAAATACAGTAATATATAAATGAGCCTAACTGTGTATCAAATTAGCATGACCGCAGAGAAAAAAAGAATTAATTCAAATAACTTTTGAACACAATACTCTGTATTTCTTTAGTGGGATATATTCTGAGGACAAAAATAACTACAAACGGATCTTGAAATTTCCTTAGTAGGTCTGTGGTTAGTAGCAGGATTGCTGTAGTAATTCTGAAGCTATTTGGAGGGTATTTTGGAACAGAGCAAACAAATATATTCATGTTACCAAGAGCAAGGGTTTTCACTGTGGAGAAAGGGATTTTCAGTTGAACCATGTACAGTTGCCATTTTTTTTATGGATCAAAAATGGTTGAATATCGGCAATTTCATACGATTTAACCAAATACAAATAGAGTGAGGGAAGGAAAGGGAACATCGTGAGGGGTGGCTTGGAGTGAGAGCTATTCAGGTGAATTCAGGGTGTTAGCTCTGCGCCCTGAGAGGGCCTACGGAGCAGAGCAGCCCTGAGCACACTCTGCTCCAGACCTCACTTTCTAAATCCCGTTCCCCTCTAAAGGGACCAGGGCGTCCTTGAGAAGTGGCAGGTTCGGGCTGGGGCAGGAGACACCCTGGGCAAGCCTAGGGTACCCTGTTGTGGCAGAGGTGAGGAAATGCTCAGAGAATAATGGAAACAGGTCAAAAGTTTGGACGGAAAAAGGGGCCACAGATTGAACAAGACAAGCTCAGGGGAGGCCAGCATGGCGGGCCCTACACCCCCAGAGACCAAAGGAACCACACAGGGTGGTCTGGATATAGACAGTCCTCACTACAACAGGCCATGGTGGGTGGTCACATCCTAGCGTCCTTGACAAAGGTCAGTCTTTACTTGAAGTGAGCCTGGATGTTGTCTTTTTGCATCTAGGATAACAGACCTTTGAAAAGTCAGAGTAATTCTCTTTTCCAGACCCCTCAGTGCATGAGACCAGGAATCCCTCATTATTATCTAGTGCCCGCAGACCATGTCTCAGCGCAGTAAACATTCATTATTATCGATCTTGCACCCACCAATGTGAAGGAAGTGTGAACCTCTCCGTTTTACTTTTTTTTTTTTTTAAAGATTTTATTGGGGAATTGGGGGAGGGGAACAGGACTGGGGCATCGAGGAAGGGGAACAGACAAGCTGCTGTCCTTTTGTTCTTCAGTCTAGTTGTGGAGGACGGACGTTGCTTCACTGGCCCAAGTTGGCACCATCATTGCGCTCTTCCCGGGCGAGGCAGATCAGTCGCCGGCTTCTGGACGGCCGCTCACTGCGGCTGCTGGCCGCTCACGCTGGCTGCTGGCTACACACGGTAGCCCATGGCAACCCACTGCCACAGGGGCTGCAGCCTACGCCGTCGCCGGCGACTCACGGCAGCCCAGCTGCAGGTTGAGCTGTTGTTCAGCATCTTAGCTGTAGAGGGCAGTGTCACTGGCCCTCATATGTGGGATCTGAACCGGGGCCCTCTGGCGTCCCAAGCCAGCTCTTAACCAACACGCCACTCGGCCGGCCCTCTCCGTTTTACTTTTTATCCAACCCCAGAGACGCCCTCGCTGTGCTTCCTCCCCGCCTTTCACCTCCCACCCACGGATTCCCTGTAACCCCTAAGCCTCCGCCTTCGACTCTAAGGTAAAAAATAAGCTGTAAAACTGCTGTTCTCAGGAGCGTTTTCTCAATCCATTGGGATTTTGCTTCCCAGCACTTGTCGCCAGTTTGGTTCAAACAAACTCATAAGACTTCTTTACAGGTTTGGACGTTTCTTACGTTGACAAAAGGAAGGAGGAAAGATGAGAGTGAGATGGGATTGTAGGCTAGCTCAGAGTGTGGCATCCATGTTAGATTTCCCAGTGTCGTACAACAGTTTGGTGGTTATGTGAGAGACTGGCCTTACACTTAGGAAATCCACTTGAAGGGTTTATGCATACATCTCCTACTCTCAAATGGCTCAGAAAAATGTTCTATGTATGGAGAGAGAGAGAGATGACAAAGCAAATGGGGTAGCATGTGAACAACTGGAGAGTCTGTCTACACAGGAGTTCCTTGAACTGTTCTTGAAACTTTTTTCCAAGTTTGAAATAATGTAAAAATAAAAACCACACCTCCAAAAAAAAAAGGAGTATAGGAGCCAGCTTGGAGGGGGTCTCACTGGCCAAATTTGGATCAATTTGAGCATCAAAAAGAGTAACTGAATGAAAATTCAATTCATGAATATTTCAATCCATGAATTCATATGAATATTTAAGACTTTTCAAAAAGGAGGGGGAGTATTTCTTGGCCCCAAAATGCCTATTAAATGTAGAGGGAATGGTAAAATTGGAAAGTCATGATTTTGCAACCATAAATGTAATGATGGATTCAGGCAAGGACCATCATTTGATAATAGTTTGGTAAATGGTCACTGGAAAAACATCCTATTTATGGCTTATTCTTTCTCCAAGGTACCTCAACCCTGGAGAAATCCGGCAGATCAAGTGTTCAGACTTCACATCACCATTAACGGGACAAACTGATGACCTGGATCTCCCTGGGGTCTGTCATCTATGCAGCCTCACCACCGCAAATGTTTAACCCCAGGAAAGGATCAGGCACACCCAGCCCATGGAAGATTCTAAAGGAGACAGGTCTGGGCTCCTCAAAAACGCCTGTGTTGTGAGAAGTTAAACTAAACCCCAGCAGGACGAACTGATGCTGATTAATGGAGTGTGAACCAATGACTACCAAGCCAATGTGACAGCAAGTTCTAAAGGACAATTTGGGGACAAGGGAAATTCTCCCACAGGCTGTGTCAGGTAATATCACTGAGTCCGTGACTGTTGGTTTGTTGGGTGCGGTGAAGGGTCACAATTATGTAGGAGAAGGTTCCCATTTTAGGAGGTGCCGCTGAACTGTTTGGAAGGAAAGCATGTGATCACTCCACCTTCCTTCCAAATATAAATATATGTGCAGATAGAAATGCAGAAAGACAAGCCAGTGTGACAAGATGCTAACAGTTAGTACATCTCCCCAATAGAGGTACACAGATGAGTTGAAACGTAGTAGTTTACTGTATTAAATTTTTGCTTGTTTGTAGATGTTTCTGCTTAATTGAAATTTTTATTACGATTGTAGAGTCACGTGCAATGCACGAAACAGCACAGAGCGACCCCTTGAGCATGTTGCCCACTTGTCCCCACAACGGTAACATTTGGCACAACTATAGTGCAATCTTATAGCCAGAATGGTGATGCTCATCTTCTTCCCAGGGCCCCAGTTCACTTGTGCTCAGTGTGCATGCCACACACGATCTTATCACTGGCAGGTTACTGTGTCAAATGCTGAGAGGCTCCACCCCCACGAGGGTCCCTGGTGTTGCCCTCCTATAACCACTCCAGCTCCCCAAACAAATGTCGGGCAACCTGTGAGTAGCCTTTGGGACAGGCTTTCTCACTCAGTCACTTCCCGGGAGCGTCTCCTGTACCCCCCACCCCCTCAGTGCTATGTCAGTGCTTCCATGCTGTGGATGGACCACAGGGGTTCACCTACTCACCTGCTGAAGCACACCTGGATTTATTTCCAATTAAGGCTGTTATAAATAAAGCTGCTATGAGTACGAATGCATGGACTTGCCCCCCCCCCTTTTTTTAGATTTTATTGGGGAATTGGAAAAGGGAACAGTGTTTTTCCAGGACCCATCAGCTCCAAGTCAAGTTGTTGTCCTTCAATCTTAGTTGTGGAGGGCGCAGCTCAGATCCAAGTCCAGGCCATGTTCAATCTTAGTTGCGGGTGGGGCAGTGCACCATCCCACGCGGGAGTCGAACCGACAACATTGTTGTTAGGAGCACATGCTCTCACCAACTGAGCCATCCGGCCACCCGTTGGCAGCTTAGCAGCAGCTCAGCTTGGGCACAGCTCACTGGCCCATGTGGGAATCAAAATGGTGACCCTGTTGTTCAGGGCTTGTGCTCTAACCAACTGAGCCACCCCGCTGGCCCTTGCCATTTCTAAATCTTTTATTTATTTATTTATTTATTTATTTATTTATTTATTTTTAGCTGAGCCATCCCTGCCACCTGTTGGCAGCTCAGCGGCTGCTCAGCTTGGGCTGGGACTCGAACCGCTGTTGTTCAGAGCTCGCACTTTTGAGCGAGCTCTTAACCAAATGAGCCACTCGGCCAGCCCCTTGCCATTTTTAAATATATCAAATTTGGTAAGAAAAATATGAGCTGCCAAAATAGTTGAGACAGCTACGGGAGCACCCAAGTAAAGGCTCCCTTTCTCGCTCGGCCTTGCAAACCTGCCCAAGATGACCTCTGACCCACGTCACCTCTGTGGCCTCCACTGTGATCACATCCTGGAATCTGGGCAGCTCAAGGCTGGAACGGAGCCCTAAGCAAAGGTGCCAAGTGGCAGTGAGGGCTGGGGAGAACAAGCAGAGAGGCGGCCTTCCAACAAGAGCGAGCACAAGGCCCCAATGAGCTGTCCAAACTGAGCACAAACTCGCCGTGGGGCAGGTGAAGGTCCTTCCTGCTGTGGCCGGGTGCTGGTGTGTCCGGCCACCTGAAGTTTTAACGCTGGCCTGAAATAAAGCCCTGCCTGGGGGGAGTCCAAGGAAACGGCATTTCCTGCCTCTGGAGGCTTAAGCTGTGGGTCCAGCATCCCCAGGTCCCCACACAACATCGGGGTAGTCTCTGGGGCTTGCTTGTTTTCACAGATGCCTCACAGGGGATTGGTCTGTCCTGCCTGGTCTTCAGCTCTGACCCAGTGAGGCCACCCAGGGGAGGAGGGTCTGCCCTGCCTCTCCCACCTCCCACTGCTGGGGTGCCCTGCCACCACCAGGTAAGAACCAGCAGCAGGAGGGGAATGTGCACTTGGGGAGACTGAGTGCTGTTTGTCTCCCCATCAAGGGTCATTCCTCCAACAGATGTTTGCTTAGCACCAGCCCTGTGCCAGGCTCTGCTCTGTGTGCCTGCAGGTGGAGACAGCCAGTAACCAAGTGAGCAGGCACGGAAGACCTGTTCCAGTGCAGAGGAGGCTCTGAGGAAACCCTCAAAGGTTGATGTGCTGAAGAGGGCAGGCTGGGGACAACTTGGGGTGTAGGGAGCCTGGCTGCCACAGAGCTGCACATGGTGGCCTGATGAGCTGAAGCGTAGGGCTGGAAAGCTTGACCAGGCAGTAGTCAGAGATGCCCCAGAAATACCCCAAGGGTGTCTGCTCCAAGGCCCCGGTGTGCCCAGCTGCATGCAGACAGTGAGGCCCATGCGTGCAGGTAGCAGTGGACAGGACAAGGCAACGAAAGAAATGGAGTGGCAGGTCTGTGGGCATCATCTCTCATTCCCTGCAGACCTGGTAATGGCCGGTAAGGGGGCTTGACCAAAGTGCCCCCCACATGAAATCACCATGATCCTGTGATACTCCCTGGCCTCAGGGGAGGGGACTGACCGATGGTGACCAGCGATGTGTGTGGCTTAAGTGAGGCCCTGAGGTTGCAGAGTGTTGGATGGGCTGCAGGACAGTCAGGAGGGACTGAGGGGCCACCCTGAGACTTTCCCGTTTTCTCACACATGCAGGCGGTGTCCGTGTTTGTCAGTATGCCGGTGCCTATAAGGCGGACGTGTCACTGACATGAAGGCAGGGCAGCACCCACATAGGAGGGCTGCGAGGGTCCCTCCTCCCGACCTTCCACAGACAAGTTCGTCCACAGGGCCTAGCTGCTGGTAAGGTGAGCTCCGCCTTGACAGTGTAGGCTGCCCATTTCAGACTTTCGCTGAATTTCCTCTGTTTGGTCTGGAGCTTCTGGCCCAGAAGTCTTTACCCTCAGCCATCCTCTGACCTTCACACCACCCCACGGACAGCGGTGACCACAGGAGATGGGGGAATGGGGGCAGTGGCCCGGAGGGGCCATGGAGCCCAGGCCTCTGCACGCTTGCGGCCCGCACGGCCTTCCTCTTCCTGCTACCGGTTCCACGTGGCTAGGTGATGGCTGGGGGTGGGGTTGGGGGGAGGATGTCTGTGAAATGCCCAATCTCTGAAACACATTTGCAAATAGAAATGTTTCCTAGAAGACAAAAAGATATGTATATAGAGTCCCGCGGCCACGTGGCGCCCATTGGGGTGAGCACGCGCTCCAGGGACCCTGCGGCAGCGCCCGGGACAGAGCCAGGGCAGGGGGCGGGGATAGGGGCGGACACGGAAGTGCTCCAGGCCCCGCCCCGGACCCCGCCTCCCGCGGTCGCGTGGCTGTGCGTCCCGGCTGTTGCCGATAAAGTTGTTTGAAGCCCGGCAGGCCGCGGTGGCGCCGGGAGCGGGTCACGTGATCGGAAGATGGCGGCCCCGGCAGGCGGCGGGGGCTCAGCGGTGTCTGTGCTGGCCCCAAACGGGCGGCGCCACACGGTGAAGGTTACACCCAGCACCGTGCTTCTGCAGGTGCGGCCGCGAGCAGCGGGCGGCGGGCGG